CACAGGGCCCTTGGTGAACAAGCACCTCTCTATCCTCAGGCTTGTCACTGGCATGCTGTCCACGACATAGTGACCAGGTTGTCCCACGGGCACCTTCTTCCGTGGCAGCCTGCCCTTGTGAGGGCTCTTCCTTCTCCCACGACCTGGCGTGCGGGTCCGAACCCTCCTGTGCGTCACGCTGCTGACCGTACTACGGGTGGTTCTGGAACGGCCATGCTGCCCCTTGCCTCCTGGTCTTTGTCTGTGCTGTGTCCTCCACCCCATCCTTCCTCAGAAGCCTTCTCTGACCCCCTAGCCTGGGGAATGTCCACAACCCCAATCTGCCCCTCCCCCTGTTTATCTCCCTGAAGGTACCTGTTGATTTGGGGTGTGTCTCCCTTAGATCTGAGCCCCTCAAGAGCAGGGGCCTGGGTATCTCATTCATTTTTATATCCCCCAGAGACTGGAGCAAAGTCAGTGCTTAAACAATAGAGACTACTTCTAATAGACTACGTTGGAGTGAGAAAGGTGGGCAGTGGGCAGGGGCAGGCAGGTATGCCAGGCAGAGGGAACAGTAGGAACATGGCAGAAGTGTGTGTGCAGGCATAATGTGTTCAGCAAATGCTTGTTGTGGTGGGGCTGGAGCGTAGAGTTTAGAGGGAGAGTGTTTGTGGGGCATGAGGCATGAGAAGAGGGTGGTGAGACTGGCATTGAAGAGAATCTCTCTTGAGGCCAGCACGGAGGCCAGATGAGAGTGAGGAAACTGGCACAGTAGTTTAGGTGGAGATGGGCACCTAGTTGAAGGGATGGGGAGGAGAGGGTCCTGGCTGTTCTTACTAAACTGGCAGCATACAGACCTTTGCAGTTTCCTCTCTCCCAAGATCCCCGCCCTAACCGTGTGTCAGGGCCCAGGATCCTCCGTGTTGAATGTCCCCACCCCTTGTTGGTCCTTCCCTTTAGCACCCAGTGTCTGCAAGTGTCCACCCTTGTCATGGAGCCCTGAGTGAGACGCAGCCTGGGGTTTGTTCCAACCCCATTGGGACCAACACTGTAACCAGGATTGGTAGAGTCGGCAGCCTTTGGTTAAGGGAAGGAAGCACTTATGGTGAGACCTTGCGCATGAGGCACGACATGCTGGTGATACAGAGCGGGCCTCAGCCCCTGGAGCCCACGAATCCTCACCTCGGATCGGAGATTTGCATGTGGGAGGAAACCCCCTCTCATGCTGGGCCCAGGAAGAACCCTGGTCAGGATCAGCTGTACCTCTGGCTGGCCTCACCCTGGCTCCTTGCAAGTTCTTCCCGAAAAACCACTCTCACCAACCTCCTGCTGAGAACGTCATCTTGCAAAACAATGAAGGGTAAGGACTAATATTTACCAGTATGTGCCGGAAGCATTGGGTAGGTCACATTCCAAATACAATCGCAATTCTTATATTGATTATTCGAGTTGGCTTTGTTATTCCCATTTCGTAGGTGAGGAAGTGGAGGCTCATTGGTGATGTCCCAGAACCATGGCTTCTTTGGGTTTTGAATTCAGGCCTGACTCACTCTAAAAGTTGTGCCACCCCACCTGTTCCTTTCCTGTTGGTCCTATATTTACAGGGAGACAGCAGGGAAGGTGTATCCTTCTGGTGGTAGGGTAGAAATTGGCTTTGTTTTGCTCTTTCCAAAGGGGACTCTGAGCAGGGCACAAAGGTGGCTGGGCTGGGGACAGGAGCCCCACCTGTAATAGACCTTGTCAGACCTTTTTCCTGCTGCCTCAGCCCTCAGCCACCCCTCCTTCCCTGGCCTCCTCCGCCCTGTCTTCTCCACTGCTCTAGCTCTCAGATGACTCCATTTTTTTCACCTGTCTCTGCTCCTCTCCATTCAAATCCAAATGCAATTTTATTTATTTGATCCCAGTCACTCACTGAGCCAGGCCCTTTGTCAAGACTGTCCCATTGCACAGCCCCAGGGGGCACCATTCCCCCAAGAATACAGTGTCAGTGGTGCCCCTGACATTGTGGAAAGCAGTGGCTGTGCTCTCTGCACTGAGGAGAGAGGGAGGTAAGAAGACCAATCGTGGGGGAAGAGCTCTGCTGGAGGAGGGAACCACACTGTCCCTGGAGGCCAGGACAGGCGCTCACCTCTTCTTCTCCCCCAGCCAGCCCGTGTCACACAGTGAGGAAGGATGGGGGCCCCATGTAGACAGGCTGGATACTTAATTCCAAAACGAAAGGAGTATTATATAGGAGAATAAGGCTGAGATTGATGGAGACAGAAACTCAAGGATGGAGAAAAGAGAAGAAAGAAAAGGAAGAGAGTTACACGCTCTCATTACTAAAAGCTTATCCCTGCCAGACCCAGCTGACCCCTACCTGTGCAGCCTGGCCTGGACAAAGACCTTCTGGGCCCAGAGTCTCAGCCTCAGACTCTGGCCAGCAGCTCTCCAGTCTGGTGTGGCCGGCCTTTGACAGCTCAAGTCAAGGCTGCGGATGAGCTGTGGCTCCTCCCCCAGGTGAGGTGGTGGGAGGGCCTGAACTCACCCTCCAGCCCACTGGGGCTTGGGTTCTGAGAGACAGTGCCTGTCCCTGATAGTAATGCTGTCCTGGAGCAAACAGAACTTTTCGGGATTCCCGGAGGGCTCAGATGGAAGACCACTGCTCATAGTTAGCTGTGGTGGCGGCAGTGGCAGCCCTTGCCCCCACACACCAGAGCAAACAGGTTTGTCAACACAGGAGGAAGGGCGGGGCT